CTAGATCCTAAATGTATATCACAGTGATCTTAGTTTGCTGATTGCATTTTTATTATTTTGGGATTTTTTTTTCATTCTGTAACCAGACACTGTGATTTTTATCAATACTTTATTCGGCTTTACTATTTTGTGTGCCTTTCTTCCTTGATTTTTCGTTTTTCTCCTATCCTAGCATAACAATTAAACGTGATACCTATCTAGCAATCTATCCCCACCTTTTAAAATGTTTCATCATAGTGCTAAAGTTTGGATCTACTCAGGCTCTTCACGATTAAATGACAGCCGATCTCTAATGCATTATAGTTTTTTAAGTCAGTACGTGATGGTTGTTTCAAGCTGGCATCAGACGAATTCCGATGCATTGAAGTAAATCGGCAATTTTCTATTGTAATTTTACTGTTTAACCAGATCCCTCCTTTTATTCTATTCATATCCAACCTCATCGAACTGGTGATAATGTTTGCGGTATCAATTAGCCCTACTTAAATAGAAAAGTTTATTCATGTTTCTTATATAAGGTAAAGATAGATAAAAGCCACAATCTAATGTAAACGGGTCCTTGTGTTTATATACATCATCCACAAGCGCCCAACGCGCGATTAAATTATTTTTAGCGCATTGTTTGATAAATATTATTAAACCAACCACCGATACGTCTTTAATTGCATTGACAAAAGCTTGCTTGAAATGCTCAAATAATTAAAGTTCAGGTTTTCTGGCCATACTAATTATTTTACTAAGTTGTCCTTTGCTTAGGCACTACTAGTTAAGAAGTTGTTTGACCTTGATGAATACACCTTGTCCGGAGTCGACAGTATGCCTGATAACTTCCAGGGTCGATTCGTGGTCTTGGTACATTCCCAGACGTTGCGTCGGCAACGCCAGTAAGCTTTGCTATTCTTAGCACCACACCAAAACTCGTTAAAGTGACATGCGAAGCCAAACCTTTGACAAATTTTCTGCTGAATAATTGTGGTATCTCTTCTTCGCCCCGGCGTATTCACCTATCATATATCCCCTTAAAATCTCTTCACCATCACAATTTCTCACCCGTTTATCTAAACCTAGTTGAGACCTATTCACACTCCCCGCTGGTTCCCACGTCCCCCCCTGTGCTTGGAGTGTTGATCCAAGGCTGCAATTTAGTACGCAATTCTCTTAGCTCAGGTCCTATCAGAGTCTCTCTTTTGCTCCGTAGGATCCTTTCCTTTCCCCCCTAGTTCATTGATTTCTTTCGATCACTGCCGGCACTAGAGTCGTTTTGTTCAACATTCTGCCTCAAGCCCTTGATAGCACGTATACGCCAGCCTCATTAAGTAAGCTCCCAAAGTCCGAATTCTCAAGTAGCATGCAAACCTAACCTAATACTGCAGCGTCCCTCATCATTGTAGAGCATGTACACCTATTAAATCTCGTATTTAAGCCATTATTTCACATACCACATATATGATCAAACTCATATAGTAATAGCCAACTGTCGATTGTTTACGCTGCATCTCTGGCTCTTTTATTCTGTGACTTTCTTATGTCCTAGTCTCTTGTGTGCCGGCCCACAAATGTGACAGCTCTAGTTGATTCGAATAGGCTCATTGTAGACGTCCCCTCTTGGTTTCAGATTGTTTCTCTATGGTCTGCTTACGATTTATTCTCCTTTGTTGATCTTGCCATTCCCTGACCTAGTTTGCTTAGGCAGTATGCAAGGTTTTCGCTAATCCTGCTTTCTCCAAGTCTCCTGCTCATTAGATTTATTTCAGCCATGATATCGATAGACTCTCATATCTTGCGTTTTTTTTGTATTTTCACCATATGCAGCCAGCATTCACGTAGATTTCCTGTCGATTTTATGTCCCGTTCGTGAAATGTGTTCCCCTTTCGGATCTATCCGTATCCATGTTGCTGCAGAGTCTTTGGTGCTCCTTGATTCGTAGGCGGATTTTTCTTCTCGGTTCACCAATATATTTCTGCTCACAGTTCCTGTGTTTGATGCGATTTACTCCCGACCAATCCTCGACTAGGTTTAAATAGGAAAATTAAAAATTTTGATAGTGAAGAGGTGTTACGAGGATATAGTATAGACGAATGCACCAGGACAGATGAAGTGATGCCACAATTGGCCAGCAGACAGCTAATCAGAGGATCGACATCAACTGTCTCTCTGACGAATTGTTGTGTGGTGCTAAAACTGACAAGGCTCACTGGCGATGCCGACTGCGATGCAGGTGAAAGATCTGGGAATTACAAACTCCACGGTCCGACTGTGGAAATTACTATGAGCTCCGGACAAGGTGCATTCTTCTAGGTCTTTCTGACAATACGACTAAGTTGAGAAAACAAGGTCAAACAATTTCTATACAACGAAATGAGACATGCGTTAGTCTCCTATAAGCATCTCTTCGTAACCTAACCTCTTCTCTAATGATCAAAATATCCAAATGTTTAATGTTTTATCTTCTTACCTTTCCATTGTGAACATAATATTCCTTTCACATTGTTTAAGTAAAAGTAGAAAACTATCTAAGCTTTCCTTACCGGGATGACAAAATAGTCATCTACGTATCTAAATAACACTTCATGGGTTAGTATTGCCTGTATTAAATAATGTTAATAAAGTTTGGTCATATAGTTGTTTGCCAAGATGGAAGCTAAACAAGATCCAATCGCAAGTCCTGTCTGTTCATAATACTTGCCTTCAAGGGTAATATTGCTGATAATCATGGATAAGTTAACAAGTCTGTTGGTAGAGGCCGAAGAATAGGTCCGCTTTGTCATTTATCTTTAACAGCACTCACCACGGAGATAGATCTCAAAGCAGGCTTTTCCAGGGTCTCACTGGCTATAAGTTAGAACTCAGGGCCTTAATAACACTGATTTCCGGAAAAGTGACTCTATAGTTTAAGAGATTAGGTGATTTGCAATTGGCTGAAATCCAATAAGTGGAGGCTGAACACTTTCTAACATCTTTTATTTCGGTTAACTCGATGTGAGGAAGAGCCTTATTTGTCTGAATCACCAAAGCCTAACCAAGATTGCCCTACAATTGTGATGAGTGCACAATGAGAATCATTTTTAACGCCTAAATATCTGCAGCGGATCGTTTTAAGATCCCAATCAATTCGAGATGAGCTTTACTTGATCCTTTAACATTATCATCCAAGAATCTATGATAGAGAGATTTCCATCAACCTCCTATCCACTTCCCCAATTAATAGGGGTCGGATATACATATTCGTCGTGTTATTCTAACTCGGTACGATTTGCCCAAGGTGGCGCAAATATGGATTCCCTCCAACTCGTCATAGATATATTACGTAACAATTTCTTAAACCACCGTATTCAAGAGGGTATACTTTAAATCTGGAGAATTAGTGTCTTTAATCCACATGTAATTTACGTTAGTTCCGGTAATTTATTATTTGTGATTACATTAACTTATTTCTAACCTAAAAGTGTATGGTTGATATGAAGACTAAGATAACATGGCCTTCAATTTGGTTGCAGTCTACCTTTTTAGTGTTTGTACGGCCTAGTTTTCGCAACTTGGTCGGTGCGTCAGGAAGACGTTGTAGAATGTGCCTGGTCCTGCGTCTTCTTCTATAGTATTCGTTATTTAAAGCATCGAAACATTGATTTGGCGCATTTCCAAACAATTCGCTGGCGTCGTCAATGAGAGGTTCAATC